AACGCGGGGTAACACGTGGAATAGGAAAGGCACCCAGGTCCGCTTGGCTGGGGCTGCCCGGTCTAGCGCCGGTCGCGCCCCTCGGTTTTAGGGCGTGACACCGAAAGACAACCAAACTTACTTCCTTATAGCTATTAGTACTCTGTTTCCAACAGCATAAGTTGCAGCAGATAATTCAAATTATATCTTGTTTTAGAATTACCTAATCAACTTACAACAACAAGAAGAAACATAAAATAAACCAACTTCACATTTCAAATCACTGCTTCATTTTCAGCAAAGATTCAATAAAGAACTCAAGAATAGCAAGGCCGGCAGTAAAGGTTTTTAAAAAGCAGGCATGTCACACATAAGAGTTAACTCCAACTTGAAAATGCATAAATAAGTGACGGCCGCTAATAATATCATATAACATTAATCTACTGCCAATACTAAAGAGTAAACCTTCTAAATGCTGCTGGTAGGCTACTGATGTAAAACTAATAACAACGATATTGAGTACATAGCTTGGTACTGAGACATACACGACCATCTCGAAATTTGGCTATCGTGTCCTGCATTTGGCCTGTTCGCATTTCTTGACTATTGTTATGCCCAATTAAACTTGATGAAGTGATAAAACTTAGTGAAGGGAGCTCCTCAAAAACCTGCATGCTTAGCAAAACTTGTCATAGGATAGTGTCATGGCAATGCCCTTTCCTGATAAGAAAGTGAAAGAAGCAGCTATGCACCTTCGGAAGAACCAAGGCTGTCACAACACGTTCAACAAATATTATAGCACGAAAATCCTCTGTATGCTGATACTTGAGAAGTATCTTAATTAATGATTGAACTTTTGGTGTCACTTTCCCATCAGCCACAGCAGCTCCTAAAGTCACATCTACATGCTCTCCACTAGATACAACTGCAATAGACATCTCCAATTATGTCAAAGATCANCAGATCATGAGTACACTTTTCTTATGAAATCATGAATACATTTTTCTTGGTAAAAGGCCTCAACATGTATCACTTTAATATACTCAGCAATGAACTTTTTACATTTGTTACAAACTTATGCTTCTCTTGATGTAAGAGCATACTAAGGCATAAGTGTTACATCTGAGGCATATCAAATATATACCCCCACATTTGTGAAGGTAAGACACGACAAAGAAGCTAGCACAAAATGGGTACAGGTAAAGGGCATATATACAGAATATCCAACTGATTGAATATGGTCACTGTGATACAAGATAATAATCGCACATATGTTCTCCACATTCACAGAATAATCAATATGATATAGAATATATTGAACACAGTAACGTCTGGCAACAATTTGAATATATGATCTCCGCATTCACAAAGTTCAACGTATGATTTTTAAGCAATTCTTGTATTATGGATACATGATTAAACTACTGTAACAGGTGCTTACCATGACTTTCAAGAAGCTCGCCCTCCTCCATCTCATCAGGCCTATCACAATCACTATTCGGATTGTTACTTTCATCCATCTTACCATTTTCTGCAACTGCTCCCTCTGATAACTGGCATTGCAAGAGAGAGACAACCTTATCCAGGTAGGATTCTTGGAACTTGACATCAAGCTGGTAGCTTGCCCTTTCATCATTTTGTAAAGCTGTTAAAAAAGAACACGCTACCTACAAAATAAAAAGGGCTTCAGGAGATGCTGCATGCGAAAACAACCCATTTACAAGAAAATAAGGAACAAAAAGAAGTGGTAACATTTACTACCTTATAGGCACACCACTGTCCCAGTTCACCAAGAGCATAGTTGATAGCCCTCAACTTTTGAATTAAATTAGCAGCCCCATCACTTTCAGTTCTTTCAGATACACCATAGACTTGGCGCAGCTCTTCTCTAGCTCCAGCATCACGAGCACCCATAAATTGCCATTTACTTCTTCTGGAACTTGACTGCGCAGCTTCTTCAACCGCTGATTCCATTTGTTTTATTTGTTCATGAAGGGACCACAAACTAGCGGCTTTATCATACTCCACTACTACTTCTGACGGCATTGGCACATGTTTCTCGAGGTCCTTGCGGTCCTTTATGGTAAAGACGACAGAATCTAATTTCGTCTCCAAATTACGAATCTTTATTGCACAATCAACTTGGCTGGAAACACCTATATCAATCGCAGACATTACAAATTTTGTGAAATGCAGTAGCTCAATATAACTGGCAATAAGGATACAGAGAAACAGAGCAGAAATAACATGAATAAAGTCAAGTTTAAGATTTAATACAAAAAGGGAAGAGCAGACTTCGCTCACAAATCCCTTTCGACAGAATCAATACAACTCAGAAAATACAGAGCAATACAAAAGGAAACATATGACCAAGCCGAGTTTGAAATTTAGTAACAAAGAAGGAAAGAGGAAACTTCATCTGCAAAGCTATCACTTTTGATAGATTCAGTCTTATTAGGGCAAAGAAAGACTACCCTTCAAGTTAACAGGTGAAGCAGTCATGCCAAAAACAGATGGCCTTTTCTCCTTTTGCGTTGTATGATAGAACTCAGACATTACTAAAGAATACGGATGCTTCTTCACAGCATGATGGCATTCATCCAGAATAAGGAGATTAATTGCTTCCATTTTTATTATACTGTGCCTCAAGATGTTCAGAAGAATCTGAGCAGTCATAACCAAGACCTGCAAAAAGCAGAAGCACTCGAGTGAGAAGGAATGGAAAATTCAACCGTCAACCAACTCCCACATCTCAGTGATGTGACAGTTATTCATCTTATTTTTCATACGTACATTAGTGAGCATCTGAAAATCAGATCACACTGATGCACGCAGCAAACAACTGTAGCTGTGTGTAAAGACTAAAGAGAAGAACGCCTCTTTGCACAGATAGTTGGCTAGACTGAATAGAAACATGAGACTACACAAACATCCATACTGTAAATAATATTTGATGCTATCTTGATGTATTATTAGTCTAGCCAACTTATCTCATGAGGGGGGAAGTTATCCCATGGATAATTTTGTCTATTTCTCTCTATCCCCCTTCTCTCACTCACGTGCCACTCGCTTCCTTCATCTCACAATACATCAAATCCAGGCAAAGTACTACCTTTTTCTTTTGTTCAATAAGTTCTCTTTTTTGTTTAGTTTTATACCTAATTTCATAGATAACATGTCATGTTGATTTTTTTTTGAAAAGGTAACAATGATAACATGTCATGTTGATATTACATAAATATTTATCCAAACAAAAAATTTAATACTATATTGAATTGTTTATCCCATGCATTAACTCTTTTTTTTTTTGATTGCACCGGGTGTCCGAGTCTCTATGAGCCCCGACTAATCCCGGGGATGCACAGGCCCTCGGCAAGGAGTTTCCCGCAAGTGCACCACGGTTAATTCAGGTTTTACCCAGTCCGATGGCCCTCAGAAATTGTTTGCACCCAGTGGGTTTCGAACTTGAGACCTTGAAAGGGAACAAACCCCAAGGCTCAAGTCAATTGCCACCAGGCCAACCCCTGAGAGTTGCATTAACTCTTAATCTTGTATATAGCTTGTCTTTAGGTCATAATTAGTAATTACCAGTGTTTTTGAGAGCGAGAAGCACAAAAAAGCGACAGGGGATCGCCTCGCTTCAAAAGCAAAGCGCGAAGTGAAGCGCAATTCTTAAAAAACATAATGTAATGTAATGTAATGTAATGTATATATATATCAAATAAAATTAACTTTATAAACTGAAATACACATAAAATTAATAAATAAAGGCTAAATAAGAAGAAAAAAGGAAAAGAAAAAGACGTGCATGCCCTAGCAGAAGAGACGAACGGGGAGAAGAAAAAGAAGAAAGAAGAAAAAAAGAAATGAGAAGAAAAGGAGAAGAAGAAGAAGAAAGAAGAAAAAAAAAGAAGAAATTACCTGGACCGGAGGCAGCTAAACGGAACCCTAGAAGTAGCATTGAGGTCGATGGAAGGGAAGAAGAGAAGAAATGTCTTCAATTCACTTTGGGGTTTATGTTTAGTATAATAAAATAAAGATTGGGTCTCTTTTCAAAAAAAAATTGGCCCTTGTTGACTGAAGCGATCGCTTTTGCGCTTCTCGCTTCTGTGTCGCTTCTCACTTCAACACCTGAAGTGATCGCTTTTGCTGGTCGAGCCGCCTCAACTTCAAAAAAGTGAAGGCTTGTCGCTTCGCATTGCTTCTCGCTTAGAGCAATGAAGCGAACGCTTTTTAAAACACTGGTAATTACTACATATATTTACAACAAGGATATTTTAGTTACGAAAATCCTAGTCCCATCTTTCATCCTTTATGTACAAACATGGGAGAAACTTTCCTTACTCTCTCATTAACTAGCACCTCACTAAAATGGGAGTGTCACATCCCACCCTATATTTGCGCATGAAACAAAGGAACCCTAATCACAATTCACAAAAGGATCCGCAAAATTCAACAACTTGTCCAAAAAAAACATGTACCCATGTAGACCCCAAGACAGCTTTAACTAATTCATCATGTGCATTGCAATCACATCAATCATAATATCAGCAGATTGTTGAAATTTCAGCTCACTAGCACCTGAAAAATTACGTTACAACCATAGATTAACTATAAATATGTACAATCTCACAATATACAGTCCATTCCTTTCGCCTCTCTGCTAGCCAGATGAGAGATAAGTTGATTGTGGGACCCTACAGTGAAATATCCGGGCAAGTGGTAATTTTATAATACTGAAGACTTGGAATCAAAACTTTAGCGCCTAAATAAGTTTTGCTTCACAAAGGATGATGAAGAATTTGGGGAGGGGAGACAACACACCCACATCTGTCTAATATAGCTCTTTCCCCGCCATGGTTAAAATAACTTAAATGTCAAGAAACTCCAACATCACAAAATTCCAATCGAGGTAATGTTGCACATGATACTGAAACTTCATATAGAAAGACATTCTCCTTCTACTTGTACCGATGAGGAAGCTATGTTTGTGTTGACATATACATTTAAGGACATTTACAAATGCATTTATGCCCGGGGTCAAAGTCGCGGCATCTAAGTACAACTTCAGAAGTAAGTGTCCAGAGAATTGACAGAAGAGAATTGAGAGAATAGTTAAATTATTCACAAAATCAACAAAGATTCACAAATGACTATAGTTACACCAGTTAAAAGTGAAACCTAAGTTAACAATGGCAGTTCACGGAACCAATTGATGATTGGCTATGCATGGTGAACAATATACTTACTAGACGTTTCAATAAGTCTGTAATAGCACAATATGTGGGTTTTTTAGAAAATAATAGGAGTATCAATATGTCGTTTGTAAGGCATTGGATGAAGGATATGATCATACAAGTCCAACAGGGATTACCAAATCACAGTTATGTTCTTCCCATTTGGTTATTGCATCTATTGCCTATTGGTTAGACCCACGGCTATAGTTGATACTTCTGAAGCAATGTCAAGATGAGATAACAGACATTAAAAAATTCCTGACATGCTGAGGAACAGTGTTGTCAAAAGCTCATTTGAGGCACGCTTAAGCCCTGAAGCTCAGGGTTGGCGCTGCACCTCACTTTGGATGCACCTCTGTGTTGGCATGTCACTAAGGTGTGCGCCTCTTGAAAAGAGAGGTACTAAATAATAAATACGATTGACAAAAAAATGTATTAATTGTATGTTACCATCTCAAAAAAAGAAAAGATATATTAATTGGTAAGGAAATCATTATGAACGAAGTTGTTACTTTTTTCCTTGCATCACATATATGTTTTTATGATTTTCATTGTTTCGGCTTCTTTTTTCTTTTAGCTTACGAGTTATGACGAAGTTCTGATGGAGGTTTTAGGGAAACGATTGGAGGCTAGCGGTGTTCCAATAGAGTATACTAGGGTGATTAAGGACATGTGATGGAGTTAAGATTCGGGCGAGGACTGTGGGAGGAGACTTGGAGCATTTCCAAGGTGACAGGGTTGCACCAGGGATCCGCTCTTAGCCCGTTTTTATTCGCTCTGGTGACGGATGTGCTGACGCGACACATTCAGGGTAAGGTGCCATGTTGTATGCTATTTGTAGATGACATAGTGCTGATTGACGAGACGCGAGGCTGGGTAACGCTAGGCCAGTGTTTTTGAGAGCGAGAAGCGCAAAAAAGCGACAGGGGCTCGCCTCACTTCAAAAGTGAAACGCAAAGCGAAGCGCACACTTCATTGAACTGAAGCGCAATTCTTAAAAAATATAATGTAAACCTTGCAAAGACACAATATAAATAATCAAAAAGTTCAATTTAAAAACATAAAAGTAGGTACCACTACCACCAATTCCTCCATAAACCATAGGACAAGCAAAATCACATAAAAATTAACTTTATAAACTGAAATACACATAAAAATTAATAAATAAAGGCTAAAATACTAATCAAATAAACTGAAAATAATATATATATATATATATATATATATAAAAGATTAACTTTACAAACTGGAATACACATAAAAATTAATAAATAAAGGCTAAAATACTAATCAAATAAACTGAAATATAATATATATATATATATATATATATACACACACAATAATTAACTTTATAAAGTGAAATACACATACAAATTAATTAATAAAGGCTAAAATACTAAATAAGTAGAAAAAAAGGAGAAAAAAAATGAAGAAAGAAAAAAAGGAGAAGAAGAAGAAAGAAGAAAGAAGAAAAATTACCTGGAGCTTCTCTGTTGAAGTCTTGAACCCTAGCAGCAATTGATTTTGAAAGATGGTCTTTACTTAGGTTAGGGGTCTATTTTGTATAATAAAAAAAAAGACCCAAACTTTTTTTTAAAAAAAAAAACTGACCCAAACTTTTTTCCCTTAAAAGTGACCCCCTCCACCACAAAAGCGAGCGCTTTGTCGCTTCTCGCTTCTTCTACTGAAGCGACCGCTTCGTGTGGTCGCCTCGCCTTAGGCATGGAAAAGCGACAAGACATCGCGTTGCTTCTCGCTTAAAGCGATCGCTTCGTCGCTTTTTAGAGACAGGCCCTGGAGTCTAAATGTTTCAAGTTGAGTAGAAAACAGAATACTTGGAGTGCAAGTTCAGTGATGTGACGCATGAAGCCAAAGTGAAAGTGAAACTTGATACACAAGTCATCCCTAAGAAAGATAGTTTCAAATACCTTGGGTCTGTAATACAAGGCACGGAGATATTGACGAGGATGTTACACATCGCATTGGAGGGGGTGGATGAGATGGAGGCTCACCTCCAGTGTTTTGTGTGATAAAAATATGTCACCAAGACTAAAAGGACAAGTTTTACTAGACCGACCATGTTGTACGAGGCTAAGTGTTGGCCAGTCAATAAATCTCATGTCCAGAAGATGAAAGTAGCAGAAATAAAGATGTTGAGATGGATATGCGGGCATGGCAGGAAAGATAGGATTAGGAATGAACTTATTAGGGACAAAGTGGGAGTGGCACATATGGAGGACAAGTTGTGGGAATCGAGGTTGAGATGGTTCGGGCATGTGAAGAGGAGAGACATAGATGCCCTAATTAGGAGGTGCGCGAGGTTGACCATGGCGGATCTGGGGAAGGGTAGAGGTAGGCCGAAGAAGTATTGGGGAGAGGTGATTAGGCAGGACATGGCATTGCTCCATCTTACCGAAGACATGACACTAGATAGAAAGGTGTGGAGGTCGAGTATTAGGGTTGCGGGTTAACAGGTAGTCGAAAGTTTCCATTAGTCTTACAGTAGTATTAGTACTATTCTTGTATTTTCCTATTCTTAGATCTTTATTATTACAGTTGTGCAATTCACTTACGCTATTTTATTACGCTTTGCGCTTAAGCCTCGATACACCTACATCGTTTTTAAATGTTTTTCGCCTTTGACAACACTGCTAACGACACCTTTGTTGTTTTCACAAAATATATGATGGGAAATTAGGAAAGCTTTAATTTTTAACATCAAAACTACAAACCATGCAGCTTACGGAAACCACTCAAAAGGAAAGCAGAACTAAAGAAATTTCACAAACAGATTCACCCAAAAAAAGGATAACAAGAACATTTCATCAGCTAACTTACACCAATATGACTTCATAAGCAGCCATTACTTATACTTCCAAGTGGTTAAGAAAAGGTATGACAAGGTCGATAAGAATATACTCCCTCCGTTTTAATTTATGTGAACCCATTTGACTGGGCACGGAGATTAAGGAAAGAGAGAAGACTTTTGAACTTGTGGTGTAAAATGAAGCACATATATTTTGTGTGGCTATAAATCATTGCATAAAGATAAATTGTTTCCAAATAGGGAAAGAGGTCATTCTTTTTAACACTGACTAAAAAGGAAATAGGTTCCCATAAATTGAAACGGATGGAGTAATAAGATACAGCAAACACATGTGTGAACAAACTTGTATTTTGTGCACACTTATTTTTGCTGAATTTCATTATACTCTTGGTGCTATTTTTTTCTTAATACATACCCTTCTCCCAAAAAGAAAAGGTGTGCACAAACTTGTTGGTATTAATAATCATATAATTAGAATAGAGAAGCATTAACCAACCTGTTTAGTTTCAAACTCACGCTGCCACCTTCGTGCATCCCAAAAATCTTGGCCCATCTCACCACAATAATGGCCAACTTGATAACCTGTTTGCTCACGAATAACTTCTGCTTGCTATGTTCCAAAACAACAAACCAAATTCAATTCCTGTTTACGCGATTGTGAAAATGGGTAAGCGGAAGACGTGCTAAACAAATACCTGATAAACAAGTGGAACTTTAGGGACCAGAAAGACAGCCAGCATCTTCTTGTTCTGTTTGTGCAAGTCATTACACAGACTCTTCATGAGGAGGATGCCAATAAGCGTTTTTCCTGCTCCTGTTTCAAGAAAAGCAATTGTATTTTTCTTTCTGGCATGCTCAAGTACATCCAACTGATACTTGCGTGCTTGCTCCTTGGGAGCTTGTTCCTTTGGTTTAACATCTTTCTTCTCAATAGCTCCAGAAGGTTCAACGCTTCTCTCAGTCGATAACTTCCCCTCTCGATTTCTATCCGCTTCCCATGAACCCACCCGAAATACCATCTCATTCTTTTCTTTGTCCCTTTCCCAGAAGCCCCTTCCTTCCCTCCATTCTCTATCTCTCCCACCATGATTTTCCCTTCTCTTCCTTTGATCCCTATCTACTCTATTGATCTCATCATTCTCGAGGTCGCGGAATCTCTTCCTCGCCGCCAAAGGTGGTCTATCACGGCCTCTCTTCTCGCGGCTATCACCACTAAGTCGTGCCCTTTTGCCATTTCTCTCTTCTTTACTATCATGATAATCTCGTTCCTTATGCCTAGAAAGTCCATTTCCTTCATGCAAATACTTCTTTCCCCTGTCACTTCCGTTTTGCTTAGTATTATCCTTGTTAACTTGTGGCTCATTGTGCTTAATAATTTCAGCTGCAGCTGAACCTTTACTACATCCATTACTATCATTGTGATCCACACAAGGTACAGAATCATCACCACTCTTTAATTTTTCAAGAATCCCATCAATTCCACCGAAGAAACAAGGATCAACACTGCCATCAACCGGACCCAATTGATTCGATGGCTCAACGGGGACAAAATCTTGGATTAAATCATCACAGGAAATATCCTCACAAGCATCAAGCCAGTATGAGGGTTTCTCAGAACCTCGACCATCATCAACCTCCATTACAGTATTGTAATAATTTTTACCAATTCATGCGCACCCAAATGAGCAACAAAATATACAGTATTATAATAATTTTTACCAATTTATGCACACCAAAATGAGCTACAACTACTCTATGAACTGCATGAATAAAATAACAGACAGCCCAGATACTGTATTAAACCCTAGAATCAAAGTTTATTCTTCGGCATAAAAAGGGATCCAAAATTCGAATGGAGTGAATAGAACCGGGTAAAGAAGGAGAGAGGAAGATTGCAGATTGGCGTTGGATAGACCGTACGAAGCACGCAAATATAGTGGACGAGCCAACAAAAAAAAAAAGAATCAACTTGATTTATTAGTGCGATTTTTCAAAGATTCGCAAGGTCTATCTTACGCCGATTCTGCTTTCTACTTCTCTTCTTCTTTTGGTCCCAACTAAATTTTGTTCCCAAAATATTCTCTGTTTCTCTGATAGGTATAACAGTTTTGAAGTGAAGTGATGGAGAAAGGGGGAAAGGGGCGGCCGTTTTGGCAACTCAGGAAGAAATTGCACCCTTCTCCGCTAGCCCTAGCAAATAAGTAAAACATGTAGTCAACCCTATATAAGGTTGCATTAGCTGATTTGAATTAGCTTATAAAAGAATTGAAACTGATTTAATAAATAAGCAGTTACGCGTTTGGATATAAGTGTTGAAATTGATAATAAGTTGTTGTAGTATTTGATAAAAAAGTGCTGATAAGCTCTTTTTCTGTTAAAATGACTTAAATAACCTTAGAACTGTTTACACTTATAAGGGCGTAGTTTCTTCAAAATTTTAGATTCCAGATCGATTCAAGTACAAAATATTCTATTTGTCATTTTATTTTAAATACAAATGTGCTTAGATAAGATAATTTTTACGTTAAATATAATTTATTTTACGATAAGCATATAATCATAAGTTATAAATAATTAATAAATTGACAAAAGTTTCTCAGTAAAAAATAAACATAAATAGAAAAAATTATTTGAAGAGAAACAAACATTGTCTTCATCACCACAAACACTTAGAAAGTAATACACCAAAAATTTGATATGTCCTCAATTATTACATACAGTTCAAAGATTAATACACAATCACATAGATATAAGTATGTAAAGGAATAGAGAATTTGTTTATCTTAAATAGTCAATGAGAATTGCAGATTTGAAGAGGTTGGGGTGGGGAGGGAGGGGAGGGAGAGAGGGGTTTAGGTTGAATATTTGAGGTAGTGAGTATCGATGTAGGAGTTTTGTTCCAAAAAAGAATATTTTAAGGATAAAATAGTAAAAATCTTGGTCAAACTTTAAGTGCTTATAAGCTAAAAATTCATAAGCTGGGGGTGACCAGCTTATGGCTTTTGGATTATTTTTGACTTATAAGCACTTGGCCTATAAGCACTTTTAACTTTACCAAACGCGTAGATAAGCCGAAAAGTGCTTATAAGGCTTAGCCAAACACCCCCTTTATCACTATCTACTATTTGTTGTTTTTTCATCTTTGATTATCTTATCTCTTACCTTATTAGGGGTCGCTTGGTATGAGGTATAAGAAGGTACAAGGGTGGTATAAAAAATTAATACCTCCTTAATACTTTGTTTAGTTAGCAAACTAGGTATAAGTATCCCAGTATTAATTTTAACATTGGGATAACTTATACCTTATAGAAGATGGGGTAATTAGCACCGGTATAACTTATACCTTCTTCTTAGAAATTATGCAATTGTCATTTTTAATACAACATACCAAACAATGAATAAACAACAATCCTAGCATAACTAATCCCAACATAACTTATCCTAATATAACTTTGTCACGACCCCGGTTCGTCCTCCGTGAACCATCGTGACGGCACCTAGTCCTCTACGACTAGGTAAGCCTAAATTGCGGAAGAACCAAAGTGCGGAATAAAAACAAATTAAAACAGAATGAAGAGTGATAAAACAGTGTTTTAAAGTGCCACTCGACATACACAATATTTAACTCTCAGAAACCAATACATATTTCCAAGACCCAGAAACCTATGAATCACAAGCTAAGGATCACTACACAGTACTCTAACTCTAGAATATCTAACAAGGAAAAGAAATACAGAAGGGCAAATGTTTAAAAGCTAGAATAGAAAGGGACTCCTCGGTCTGCGAACGCGGCAGATATACCTCGAAATCGCTGGAGCAATCGCATCGCCTCAAGGGTGATAGGACTGAGTCGCAGTACCTAGATTTACACATGAAAAACATGCGCAGAAGGGGCATGAGTACACCACAACGGTACTCAGTAAGTGTCAAGTCTAACCTCGGTCGGGTAGTGACGAGGAAGGTCAGGACCCTACTGAGATAAAATAAAGAATATAAGACATGACAGTATAAAATAAGCAGTACAGTTGAAAACTAACGATAAGGATCTAATATAGGAAAACAAGGAATTCAATAACTGAAACAGCGGCAAAAACAATCACAAGGAAATAACTGGGGGATCTCTTAGTACCCTCAATATATGTCAGGGATCTCTTGGTATCTCGAGGATCTCTCGGTATCCTCAATATATGCTAGGGATCTCTTGGTATCACAAGGATCTCTCGGTATCCTCAATATGTGCTAGGGATCTCTTGGTATCCCGAGGATCTTTTGGTATCCTCAATATACGTGACGGGGATCTCTCGGTATCCCACACCTCAGTTCAAATCATAAATACGTACAGGGGATCTCCCGGGATGTCGTTCCATAGTTTCAAAGTAAAACACACAGCAGTAACACAAGAATACTCAATTAAGTTCAATTTCGTATCAAGTAAACAGGTAATTCTAATCTAACATGCTTCACAAAATTCAATTAAGGCAGTTAAAGCAAACAAACAATTAAGTCAATTAGACATGCTTTTTCTAAGCTAACAGCAAGCTTAAATTTCAAGTAAAATGAAACAAGAAAAGAGACACAATTGAAATTACTTAAAGAAAACCGGATTTTCAACAATTAGCTCAAGTACGCACTCGTCACCTCATGTACAAGGCATTTCAAATATCAAATATACCGAATCCTAAGGGGAAGGTCCCCCACACAAGGTTAGATAAGCCACTTACCTCGAACCGGCTCAAAATCAACCCGAAATCACGCTCTTGCCACGAGTACTCGACTCCAAATGGCCCATATCTATTCAATTCAATTGCATAATGTAAATAACACTTCAAGTAATTGATTCTACAAAGAAATTCTAAGCTAATACGCGAAATTAGGTAAAATGACCAAAATGCCCCTCGGACCCACATCTCGGAATCGGGTAAAATTTATATTTTCAGAATCCTCACACTCTCTCGAGTTCATGCATACTAAAATTATCCAAATCTAAGGTCAAATTCCCAATCAAAAGTCGAATTCTAGGTCTAAGAACTTTCTTCCAACTTTTCCCCAATTTTCATTTCCAATCTGAAATTAAATGATGAATTCATGTTTGGATTAATGGGTTACAAGCAAAAAGGATTTAACAATCGTTACTCAATCGATATCTCTGAAAATTCCTCAAAATCTCGCTCAAATCCGAGCTCCCAAGCTTTAGTTTTCACAAAAATGGCTAACCCTCGACTTTGAAATTTTATATTCTGACCAGACGCGTTCTTCTTCACGAACGCGAAACTACTATCGTGAACGTGAAGCATAAAGAAATCTACTGGCCAACTTCCTCTTTCGCGAACGCGTAGCTCACACTGGTAGACCATACGCAAACGCGAAGACCAACGGGTCCATACCTTTGCGAATGCGGGACCTCATCGCGAACGCAAAGCATGATTCAGCTGCTTCACCCAGATGCTCTACGCGAACGCGAGACCCTCTTGCGAACGTGATGAACGTTTCCTCTGCAACACAACAGCAGAAAATCTGCAATCTTTCCAAGTCCAAAAATGGTCCATTGAGCATCCGAAACACACCCGAGGCCCCCGGGACCTCAACTAACCCTGCCAACCAATCTTAAAACATCATTCAAACTTGTTCCAACCTTCGGAATGCTCAAAAAAACATCAAAACACCTATTTTTCATCAGACCTCAACTAACCCTGCCAACCAATCTTAAAACATCATTCAAACTTGTTCCAACCTTCGGAATGCTCAAAAAAACATCAAAACACCTATTTTTCATCAGATTCAAGCCTAAAAATTCCAAAAACTCTAAAAATACGCTTTCGATCAAAAAGTCTATCAAACCTCGTCCAAATGACCTAAAATTTTGCACACACGTCACATTAAACACTACGGAGCTACTCCAACTTCCGGAATTCCATTACGACTCTCGGATCAAAATCTCACTATCGAACCGGAAACTTTAAAAATTCAAATTTCGGCATTTCGGGCCTAAATTAGCTATAGACCTTCAAAACACAATCCGAACATGCTCCTAAGCCCGAAATCACCCAACGGAGATAACAGAACTATCGAATTTCCATTCCGAGGTTGTCTTCACACTGTTCCGACTATAGTCAACTTTCCAACACTTAAGCTCTCATTTAGGGACTAAGTGTCCCAAAACTCTCCGAAACTCAAAACCGAATATCCCGATAGATCAAAATAGCAGAAATAAACTTGGGAAAAGCAGTTAATAGGGGATCGGGGCATTAATTTTTAAGACGACCGGCCAGGTCGTCACAAACTTATACCGGCATAACTTATACTGGTATAAATCGTATTCTAACCAAACGACCCCTTAGTGATTTATTGTTAATGTTTGTGTTATTGCTCTCTCTATCTTCACAAAGATAAGGGCAAGGTCTATATATATATTATCCTCTCATATCTCACTTGTACAATTTTACTAAATTTGTTGTTATTATTGTAACGCTTTACACTTCAACTTGAGACTTAATTTAGTCCGAAAATCAAAAAAAAAAACTCAACATTAAAAAATAAATATTAAGTATTCGAGCTTTGGTTATTGCCTCTTTTTTCTTAAGGAGGCTTTACCCTTCAATTTGAGATTTTTCATGTATATCTGAATTTAGCCCGAACACCAAAGAAAAAATCTTAACATTGAAAAATAAATATAGACGCAATGTTTATTTTTATCCCCAAAATATTGGTATATTTTAATTTTAATTATTGTGTCGCGTGATATAAGGTTAAAAAGTATGTTTTAATTTTAATTATTGTATCGTGTGATATAAGGTTAAAAAATATTTCATTCTTAACTAGGGGTCAATTAGTTTTTTGACTTTTTACAAACTTGTTTTTAGTTTTATGACCCTACCTTTTTTTACACATGGAAGATTTAGTGCAAATGGCGTGTGGTAGCCACTAAATAAGGTGGTGTTTATTTTTATCCACTAATTCTAATGTTGAGCAAAAATAGCCACTACTCTATTAAAATTAATATGAAAAGACATTTTTACCCTTCCTTCTATTTCTTTTATTCCCAAACCCTTCCTTTATACGCTTCAGAGCCAAAATACCAGAGCCAAAATTTCAGAAGCAAAATTTCGCTCCCTCTGTATCAGTCTCGTTCCTTGCATGCGAATCATTGTTCGATTTTGTTCGTGCCCAGCGATTCTCTGCGTGTATTTTGTTGCA